TCTCTGCAGCCCAAGTCAAGTAGGTATCTCTGCAGCCCAAGTCAAGTCAAGTAGGTATCTCTGCAGCCAAATTCGGAAGGCGTATCTGGGCGGTCATATCTGATTGGACTATATGAAAATAGGCGTGTCAGGCCGGCCGCATCTGATTTGACGATAGAAAAATGGGCGTGTCTGGTCGGCCATATTTGATTGGACATAGAAAAATGGGCTGAACGATAAAATGCCGTAACCACTGACACATTATGTCTAAAAACAAGGCGTTATTGGCAGATTGTGTTAACCACAGGCATATTATGTCTATGGTGTTAACCGGTTCGACATTAGCGGCGTCTCAGGTTCAACACTGGCGGCGTCTCGGTTCTACATTGCTCCAGTATACTGCCGCGGCGTCTCTATAACTTCTTTTTTCGACTCTCTTAACACAGAACTTTCGGTTACATTTCAAAATAAGAGCAACATAACGGGGAGAGCTAAATGTTAGTTTTTTTTTAATACCTAGCCATAACATTAAAAAACAAATTCCATTTTGGTTGTTGAAAAATGTGAACAAAGTTACAATCGATTCATAAAGAAAGAAAAATATTAATGATACTTAAACTGGCCTTGGGACAAAGGATGTTTCCTTTAACTTCACATTTTCTTGTTCAACCTGCAGTCACTACAGATGAGTGATTCTCAGTTTCTGTAAGATTTCTGCAACTGGAGCCGGTATTTCTGTTTACTGGTTAACTTCCTCAGCTGTCTCACATTTTAAAGGTCAACCCTACTCCATGTTTCAGTAGAAAACCAGCACATTTAGGAGTCAGTACATAACCAGACTTTTGGCCCTCACACCTGTACCCAGTTGCTCATGCTGCATGATGAGATCAGATTTATCCATATTTTAGAAATTACATTTAGCTTAGTCGACAAAACAATACAAATGAAGACTGTCTTATAAAAAGCTCTTGGTTTTGCAGTAAGCAGCCTGATTTCAAACTGACATCTTGGCCAAAGGTAAAATAAAAATCTTTGTGTTCTCAGAAAAGTTGTTTCAGGACCTCCAATAAACTTATGTACACATCAAAGCACACAAGACAGATTCAGGAATTCTCTTTGTTTTCCAGATTTCACATTTTTTTATTACCTTCAAACATACTCAAACAACATTTGATGCATCATTGAATTTTTTTTATTGTGTTTATTGGGACATCCATTTTTAGAAGTCATCGTAGCATCTGTTGGAAACACAGAACATAGTACAGTTAGAGTGTTGCTAGTTGTTACTTAATCCTGGATTGGATTTTAAAGTTAATTTTGATATTTTTTTCACAAGGAAAAAAAAAGTTGATTTCCTAAAGTTTAACTATAAATGAAGGAATTTGTGCATTCAGGTAATTGAAAATTAAGTAATTTCTCTAACATCCAACCCATTTTAGCCACTGAGCCATACCAAACACCCATAATCTATTCTTGAATGAATTATTGACTATTATTGACAAATTACAGACTTTTTATTGAATAAGTTATTACTCATTATTGAATCATTGACAATTTACACTCATGTTTGTGTTAACTCATGTTGCAACAAGGTCAGCAACTTTTGACTATTACTATGAACTATGTTAAACTTTGGAGGTGATTTATTTTGAAAGTCAACATCAGATATTGGTCAACATTGTTGGGCAACATCTTGGGGTTTTCTAGAGTCAACCTGAAGTGAGAGTGGTCCCTGACATGGCAGAAAGACATAAATATAATTAACAGCTTTTATTTGTTTGTTTTTTATATTTTTCAGTTATACTCAGCTTTTAAATATTTATTTTTCAAGTATTAAGAACTTTTATTTTCAACTTTTATTTTGAAAAGCAACACCCAGTTGTTGTAAACGTGCACAGTGAGGGCTGCTGTGGAGGCTCACTTTACCTCAGTGCGTTACGACAACAACGAGAGAACGGTCGAAACTATCGTGACCTACAATAAACGTACTTCAATAAAATGCATAAGTGAAAACATAGCATGCTTTATAAGTACAATAAATCATATTTCTTTGTCAAACATCGCAAAGAAACGTTACCTCATCAATAATCCTCGTGACTTTGAGGGTTACCCACAGCCAATCAGTGTTCGCCGCCGACAAACGCCTATTAAATACTGTTAGCCAATCAGTGTTCGCCGTCCATAAACGCCTACTCGCCAGAAACGCCCACTTTTGGTCTGCAGAGAACCCCTTCTCGCTTCACTCAGCTGCAGATCGAGTTACGCATTGGTTGTTGCGCACACGTCTTGTTGTCGCGGTACAGTCGTCCAGCAGTTTTAAATGTTACGTACGTGGCTTTTCTTCATGTCAGCCCTCGCGTGGAGCAGGGATGCTGAAGGTAGGTTGTTTTGACTGCGATCTTTCTCACAATTTTCCTTTTCTTGACGCGAACAGCCGAGCTACTGCGACACGAGCACGGGCTTTGTGTAAATGAACGCGTGATGCGCGCCTCTATAAACAAACCCCACCCAGTTCGCAATTATGGAGTCTCAGAAGAAGGTTTGTGTCAGTACAGTCAAAAGCATGTTGTTGTTTTTTTTTTTTGGTTTTTTTTATAGGTTTTGGAAATAACATTTCAAAATGCACAAGTAGGCGCATGTTTTGCATTTTCATTTGTAACCTGTCTGCTGCAGCTGGATGGAGCGTCATCATGGACCATGGATCAACTTTCCTGTATTTAAGAGATTTTCCTCCAGGAGCGTAACAGGAATTCCGCACGACAGTAAAAGCCATTAAATGGATTTAGCCAAATTTAAGGCCTTAAGTGGGATTAAAAATTTTAAATTTGTTTTCAAGAAATGAGTGATTTTTGAAACCGCTCAGTGTTGATACTATAAGCAGGGTCAAATGAATCTACCTCGTACAGTTTAGTTAACTTTCAGCGAGACACAGATGCATTTCCCCTCTCTATATTTTACTGGAAATGTAGTGTTACATTAGATGAACCATATTGTTGCACGTTGGAAAGAAAACATGAAAACTTGAGGAGCCGAAAGAAACTGAACTGCTGCAAACTCCAGCTGTGGCTGAAAAGCGTGGCTGCAGCCCAGCAGTGGTCAGGATGGTGAAGGATTTTGCAGCGTTTGTAAAAAAAAAATAAAAATTAATAAAGCAGAAACGGGAGACATATGAAAAAGTAAAATGGTGTTGTGCCAAAACCTGTTCAGTCTACGCAGGAGCACACACTGCCTGTTAGTGATGTTTTCCTTTCCAATTCAGAGTAAAATTCAGGTTGGTATTGATAATATTGATCCGACACGATACGTTGATGTCTCCTGTCTTTTTGTCAGTGCCACTGTCTCCAGACCATACAACATAGCTGGTCTCACCACTATCTTGAAAACTTTTCCTTTGACCTTTGCTGACACCCATTTGTCGCAAATCACTCCTGAAACTTTTCTCCATCCACTCCGTCCTGCCTGGACTCTCTTTTTTCTTTTTCACCTTTTTACCACACTCCCCATTTTCCTGGACAGTGATCCCCGTATTTGAAGTCCTGCACCTTTGTGACCTCTGCTCCTTGTAGCCTCACTGTTCCACCGGCCTCCCTCTCATTCACACACGAGCTCTGTCTTACTACAACTGACTTTCATTCCTCTTCTTTCAAATGCATACTTCCACCTCTCCAAGTTCTCTTCCACCTGTTCCCTGTTCTCACCAAAGAACACATCATCTACAAACATCATAGTCCACGGGGATTTCTGCCTGATCTCATCTGTTAGTTGGTCCATCACCAGAGCAAACAAGAAGGGGCTCAGAGCTGATCCTTGATGCACTCCCTCCTCCACCTTGAAGCTATCTGTCACACTACAGCACATCTCACTACTGTCCTTCTGTTCTAGTTAAATTACATGTAAAGCTTCTAAAGATAAAACCTTTTGACACACAAAATGAATATTAGCACCATCAAGCTTTTTTCCTGACATTTGGACAGTACTGTTATAGCTAATAACTTTAGTGTTTTTGTCTCCTATAATAAATTCCTGGGACACTCCATCACATTCACAAGCCATTTCTAAGTTGTGAACATTCTTCGGACAATACAGGAAGATTAGCGGTAAATGTAATCTTTGCTTTGACATTTTCATCTCCTCTGCATCTTCAGAAATTCTGTCCTTCTTCTGAAGCTCTTAAAACATTAACTTGTATTGCAGCCTGTACTGTGGTGCAGATTTTAAAATCATAATAACACAATATAGTTTTTCTTTACAGCGCGGGCGATTGGTGGGAGCCCAACTGTTGAGTTCGGAAATTCCACCATCTTACCCTGCAAACTACCACAGCTACAGAATACAGAGAACCTCGAACAAATTTCATGGCAGAGAAAGACAAAAGGAAAGCCCCAGACAGACAATTTCTTGACAATCAAATCCACTGGGGTTCATTTTGTCAATGGGAATGATCAGAGATTTGAATTTATTGGGAGATTTGCTGACCTAAATGGAAGTCTCCAGTTATTTAATGTAAACCTAGACGATGAGGGGAGCTACACGTGCATCTTCTCCGTGTTCCCAACTGGAAGTATCAAGGCCGAAATAACTCTAAAAGTCATTGGTAGGTGAAACTGTGTTTAAAATATTCTGTATGTTATGTTTGTGTATGAGTGAGAAAAAGCCATATTCTTTCTAACACTTCTAGTTTTGCCATCCATAAGCGTGAGGGATGACAAGCCTACTCTGGGAGATAAAGATGTTCCTCTTGCAACCTGCGAGGCTGCTGTCGCCAAGCCGGCCCCAAATGTGGAGTGGAGCACCAATACTCTGAAAGAGAACGTGACCCAGCTCACCAAGCTGACTCCAAATCCCAATGGAACGTTCACCCGAGTGACCACGTTGTATGGAAGACCTACCAAAGAAATCTACGGCAGTTCGGTCGAGTGCGTCGTTAGCAGCGATGCTCTGGTGGAAAAAATAGATTTCAAAATACAGGTCTACTGTGAGTAAACAAATTATTTCTTACGTTTATGCTTTATCAATTGTGCATAAATAAGATAAATCGGAAATTACCAGACAAATTAGCCTTCTAAAAGGGAGAACTTGTCAAACTTGCTATCAAAACTTTTATTTTTCTACCTTGAGATGCTGCAGGTGAATTTGATAAATGGCTGCTTACAAACACTCATCAATGTACTGGTACACATTCAAGTAATGCCCTCAAGCAATATGCTTAACTTGAGGTGACAGTGTAGTGGCATGTTCTACAACCCAGGTTACCAAAATGGCAGACATCATTTCAATCTGGACCCAACTCAAGTTTTATCCAGACCCTGATTAGTTATTGGATTTCAATAGATTACTTTTAGAGAAAAAAAATAAAACGGCATTACAATAAGAAACGAATTGCTTGCGCAATCTATAAGTTGAACTGTGCACATAAATTCACCCATCATTCGACTACCGTATTTTTCAGAATTATAAGGTGCATTAAGCGAAACAAGGTCATTTTGACAGATTTTTGAGCGCCGTGTACACATAAAATCAGTTCATGGTCAGTAAGCACAACCAGAATTAATACATAAGGTTCACCGGATTATAAGGCTTTTAAGTGTGCCTTATAGTCTGAAAAATATGGTAGTTAAAAAGTTCAGAAGTGACTCTAACTAAACATAAAAAAGAAGGAACAGAATTGACGAAATAGTCCTGCATGAAGGTCTAGCATGGAACTTATCAGGAGAGGACCTGTCCAGAGTCTATAGCCACTTTTCCATTGATGAGTGTGACTCCACTCGGCTCTTGTTTTATCAGTTCTTCTCAGGTGTAGGTGATTTTCCACTGTGAGTAGTTTCCCCACTCTGTGTGTGGGATTGTCGGTTAAAGTGGGCGGTGTTGTAACAGGTCATTGAGTTCGAGCCACTCTTCCCCTTGTGGTCCTTTGTCACCCTATAATAAGATTTCAGTTTTTTTTTTTTTAGCTTATCCTGGCACTGCTTATAAGTCCGGGTGCCATGCTGCACCATCATCTCTGATATCTTTCTCATTTCTTGTGGTGCTGTCCAGCTCATGCTGAATCATAACATTACGAAGGTCTGTACCTCATCTTTGGTCCATGGCACTATGTTTATAGTTTCCTTACCAGAAACTAACAAAAAGAACACATAACGTGATCAAAGAGGATTGTTCAGATTAGTTTGCAGTTTGCTGTGCGGGTCATTCAGTGGCATAGCTTTGCTGGTCCATCAACGGCTGATGTCTGCTTACATCAAAATCTGCACCTCGGAGCAGTTCACTTGGAACCACAAACAAGGTGGTCCCATAAACCAGACTGAGTGGGGGGTGTACCAGCGGTAGTCCCTTAACTGTTGTGTTGTGGTGTGGAAGAGTTGAGACTCACAAAGCACCACGTTCACTTGGAAAAGCCAAGCGTGTTTTTTCCTTCAGACAGGAAGGCGCAGGGAAAGAAAGAGTGTCCCTCACTTAGAATTCACATCATCTTAAGTCTCGCATGGTAAAAGTGGAGGTTTAAAGAAAAATAACTAAATTAAACCAGAATAAAACTAAACCATCAGTTTCATAAAGCGTAGGCTTTACTTTTCTTGTACAGCAGCTTTACTTCTGTTTGTATTTACTGAAGTTCAAGCACAAAACAAGACAATTTGCTCCACTTCACTGATGTTTTACATAGGGATGCACGATATTGGATTTTTGGCTGATATCCGATATGCTGATATGTTAAAACATTTAGCCGATAACCGATATTTTATATACTTTCAGAACATAGCCCTCTTATTTAGGCTTATTTGCTACAAAAATTGTGTAACAGCTATAAGAGCTGGTGACATATATTCAGTAACAGCCATATTCAATTCAAATTCAATTCAATTCAAAAATACTTTATTAATCCCAAAGGGAAATTATTTGTTGTTGTAACTCGTTATCCTCATTTCATTAAGAGATCTTATAGATACTGATGGCTGTAGGCAGGAAGGATCTTTTGTAAACGTCCATCTCACAGTGGATCCTAAAAAACTGGCTGCAGATGTCGTCCGATCTGTCCCCCCAGATTTGGCTGGCCTCTTTGTTCCCCCGGGCGGTAGGACCGCCCGAATGCCGGGCAGAACTCCTCCCAGAGTGATGGCCACTCCTCCCAGCAGCCTGCCGAGCTCCTCATCGCCGCGGACAGTCAACTGTAGGTGCCGAGGGACGATCCTGTCCTTCCGCTGTCATTTGCCGTGTTTCCTGCTAGTTCCAGGATCTCAGTGGTCAGGCACTCGAGCACAGCTGGCAGGAAGATGAGAATGTGTCCACAAAACATCCTTTCAACTCATTGGAGATTTGGGACTGTAGCTGAGATATTATTTGAGCTTTTGAGATGTTAATCAGCTGCTGTTGGTTGTACAAACCGGATTCCAAAAAAGTTGGGCCACTAAACAAATTGTGAATAAAAACTGAATGCAATGATGTGGAGGTGCCAACATCTAATATTTTATTCAGAATAGAACACAAATCACAGATCAAAAGTTTAAGCTGAGAGAATGTATCATTTTAAGGGAAAAATCTGTTGTTTCCAAATTTCATGGCGTCAACAAATCCCAAAAAAGTTGGGACAAGTCCATTTTTACCACTGTGTGGCATCTCCCCTTCTTCTTACAACACTCAACAGACGTCTGGGGACAGAGGAGACCAGTTTCTCAAGTTTAGAAATAGGAATGCTCTCCCATTCATGTCTAATACAGGCCTCTAACTGTTCAATCGTCTTGGGCCTTCTTTGTCACACCTTCCTCTTTATGATGCGCCAAATGTTCTCTATAGGTGAAAGATCTGGACTGCAGGCTGGGCATTTCAGTATCCGGATCCTTCTCCTACGTAGCCATGATGTTGATTGCTGCAGAATGTGGTCTGGCATTATCGTGTTGAAAAATGCAGGGTCTTCCCTGAAAGAGATGACGTCTAGACAGTGGCGGTTCCTTATAATGGGCGGCCTCCAGCAGGGGACGGCATAACATGACAGCCTGGATGGGTAGCTGCACAATCATACGTGAGCAGAGTAAACAGGAGGGGGCTCAACACACATCCCTGAGGAGAGCCAGTGCTGAGGGTTATGGTGGAGGAGGAGAGGTTGTGGATCCTCACTAACTGTGGTCTGTTTGTTAAAAAGTCTATTACCCAGTTGCAAATGGAGGGGCTTAGTCCTAGTGTGGCTAGTTTGTCCATCAGGGTTTGGGGGATCATGGTGTTGAAGGCGGATGTGAAGTCCACATATATAGCTCCTTCTTCAGCTCCCCACGTCTGACAGGCCGCGGTGGTGGTGTTGCCACTATCTATAAGGACAATTTTAAATGCAGACTTCTGCCCACCATCACTTACTCCTCCTTTGAACTTCAGATGTTTGTGATTGAGCTCTCCCAGAATGTTTTATGTGCTGTTGCCTATCGCCCACCTAAATATAATAAGGAATTCATTCAAGAATTCTCTGAATTCCTTGCTGATATTATTTCTAACTATGACAGTTTTTTTTATTTGTGGAGATTTTAATATTCATATTTGTTGTCCCACTGACCCACTGGCTTCTGAGTTTTTAAGGCTTTTATCCTCTTTTAATTTAACACAATCAGTGAATTCACCAACACATCATCTTGGCCATTCTCTGGACCTTATTATTTCTCATGGACTGTCCATTTCTCACTGTGAAATTTCTGAGTCTGCCATCTCGGATCATTTCCCTATTTTTTTCCAATTTACAGCCCCCCACCCAGCCAGGAGGCCTCTGGCTGCGGGGTGTCATCGCCGCTGTCTCACCTCAGCCAGTGCCCGACAGTTTACCACTGCTTTTATGGACTCACAGTTTTATTCAGTTGGTCCTGATGTTTCTCTGTGTCCCAAAGATTTTTTGTCATTGTTTTCTGATACCTGCACTGGGATCCTGGACTCTATTGCTCCGGTGAAGTTCAGACACCCTAAACCCAGAGCTGAGCCTTGGCTGAAAAATCCTACTGTATGCAAACTCAGGAGACAATGTAGAAGGGCTGAAAGACAGTGGAAGCATGACAGGCAACATGGTTCTTTGGTTTTATTAAGGAGAACTCTTGTTCTGTATCAGAGATCTGTTAATGATGCAAAATCACAATTTCTGTCTAACATTATCACAAACAGTAGCCACTGCCCCAGGGTGTTATTTAATACAATTAACTCTGTTTTAAATCCACCCACCTCAGTCTTATCTGATTCCTCAGCCTCCACCTGTGAGAACTTTCTCTCCTTTTTTATTGATAAAGTTGCATCGGTTAGACAAGCCATAAGCACACCTGCTACTTCTGTTTCAGAGTGTTCTTTTATCTCTGCTGGTTCTGCTTTATTCGAGCAGTTTGAACCAGTGTCTTATTCCCTCTTGGACAAAATAGTCAAATCCATTAAACCCACCAACTGCCCCACTGATTTTCTCCCCACCAGATTATTGAAAGAGGTATTTAATATTGTTGGTCCTTACCTTCTTCCTTTTTTCAATTCGTGTTTGTCCAGTGGAATTATGCCTTCTGCTTTTAAAAATGCAACGGTCCGACCCCTTCGCAAAAAAACAAATCTTGATCCCTTGGTTTTATCAAATTTTAGACCTATTTCTAATCTATCCTTCCTCTCCAAAGTTTTAGAAAAAAATGTTCTTACGCAAATTCAGCCTTTTCTGGAAAAAAGCACAATCCTTGATAAATTTCAATCTGGTTTTAGATCCCGGCATAGCACAGAATCTGCATTATTGAAAGTTCATAACGACATAGCTCAGTCAGTTGACTCTGGGTGCCCAGTAGCTCTGGTGCTCCTCGACCTCACAGCAGCCTTTGACACTGTGGACCACTCTGTCCTTCTGTCTCGCCTCCATGATTTTTTGGGATTCGTGGTACTGCTCTGAAGTGGTTCACGTCCTATTTATCTGATAGAACCTTCTCTGTCTTGCTCAATGGCTTCTCTTCCTCTACAGCCCCTCTTCTGTGTGGGGTGCCCCAG